GGCAGTGGCTGGTCATTTGTGTAGATGTTGAACATGGATGGAGCAAGCACGCTCCCCTGAGGCAGGCCGTTCTTCTGTTTCCGCCATCTGCTTCTCTGGCCCTGGAACTCAACAAAAAAGCTCCTGTTTTGTAGCAGGTTTCCTATGAGGCGGGTGAGGTGGTAGTCCTTTGTGATATTATACATTTTTCTCAGGAGGAGGCGGTGGTTTACAGTATCATAGGCTGCTGACAGGTCTATGAAGACAGCTCCTGTGATCTGCTGCCTTTCAAAGCCATCTTCTATGTGCTGAGTCAGATTCAGCACTTGCGATGTGCAGCTTTTGCCTTTCCTGAAGCCAGCTTGCTGTGGAATCAGACATGGGTCTATTTTTTCCATAATTCTATGCAAAATAAGTCTCTCCAGAACTTTGTAGAGGTGGCCACTACATTGTGGGAAAGGTGCCCTCACACCTTTCCCACCTTTCATGCACAATACTGCCTCAGTTATGGGAGGCAGTCCACAACATCCACCAGCACTGAACCTGGTTCACTGCCACTGGATAGCCTTACTGTCGCTGGCCTGTCATAACAGTAATCATGGAGTGCAAAATTACTCCTGGTTGCTAGTAGTAATGCTTGTCAAAACACCTGTGTTAATGGAAAGGGGAAATCTTGCCCTTTCCCAAGAAGTTTAGATAATGGCAAATGCCGCAGCCTCACTTAGGTGGTCTGTTTTGCTTCGTTAATTCTTTTTTTTTTTTGGCCATCTTAGAATAATAGAATAATAGAGTTGGAAGATATCACGCAGGCCATCTAGTTCAACCCCCAGCCTTGCAGGAAAAACACAATCGAAGTACCCCCAACAGATGACCATCTAGCCTCTGTTTAAAACCTTCCAAGGAAGGAGCTTCCACTACACTGAGGCAAAGAGTTCCACTGTTGAACAGCTCGTACGGTCAGGAAGTTCTTCTGCAATCTGCACTCTGGCAATCTGGCAGCCCATTAGGAAGTTCTTCCTAATGACATCACTTAGCCAAATATGTTCTAGTTTTCATGTGTGAAATGCTGGAGAATATTTACTTCATGCATTGGAGCCAATTAGAGAAAAAACAATCAATACAATGTGGGCATTTTTTCAGGGAAGAATGAGTGATAGGAGGATTAAACATCTTGGAATTCTGTCAGATTCCTCCTGCTCAGGCGTTCTGTACTCCTGCCTTTGACTTGGAGAGGAAAAATGTGTTTGTAAGATAATATTTTTTCTTGCAGGGTATTTCTTTACTGTTACATGGGAACACTAACAACAAATACATTTTCAGTTTACACCGAAGTGATATCTAACTTGGTTCACATCTCACCCAGTGCCTTTGGCTATGACAGATGCAACTGAACATTCAGCTTGCACCTGTTGAGTCCTTTTATCACACAACTATTACATTGCTTCTTTAACAGTATTCTAAGTTGATAGTAAACTTGAAAATCTGCAATCTGGCAACCCAATACACCGGAGACGTCGCCTCTTTCCCACCACAAAGTTTTGAGATTCTTGTACTTTTAGGGTGCAGTCTTACACATATCTATCTAGATGTTAGTCTCACTGAGCCTCCTAGATAAGTAGAGATAGGACTGCAACTGCACTTGTTATTATTTTATTAAAATAATTATTTTATTATTCATTTTTTAGGATAGAATATATTATTATAGGAGGCCCCAGTGGTGCAGTGGGTTAAACCGCTGAGCTGCTAAACTTGTTGACCGAAAGGTCACAGGTTCGAATCTGGGAGCAGCGTGAACTTCCACTATTAGCCCCAGCTTCTGCCAACCTAGCAGTTTGAAAACATGCAAATATGAGTAGATCAATAGGTACCGCTCCGGCGGGAAGGTAAAGGTACTCCATGCAGTCATGCTGGCCACATGACCTTGGAGGTGTCTATGTGGGGCTGGGGAGTGGCTGGATGTAGCATCAAACTATATTCATTTCACAGTGTAGATACACTGAAAGAGTCCTATAATGTGCTAAAAACTAACATGCAAAAGAATGTAAGACTAAAGCCTATCTCCTGAGCTGCATCAGGTTCATTCTGTGCACTTAGCAGTTGAGCCAACAGACATGGTTTACCTTTAATCTTTAATCCATATGAGCCAGGACTCCTTATGTGCACAGGACAAGGTCTAGCACTGGTATGAAAAGAACTTCCTTCCTCATTTCCTAAGGAAGGTAATTTGAACACATCTTATCCTTGCATGCACTTCTCCTTTGGGACTTGCTGTGTATATAGAAGTGAGTCAATGTATTACAGCAGTTTTATATAGATACACCGGATAGAAATAGTTCACATTGTGTTTAATTTTTTTTAATCCTCAGCAGCTACAACTATTGCCGTCTATGTCTGCACAATGGGTTTTACACACACATTCTCTTTGTATAATTCTATAAATGTCTTTACTAAATGAAACCAGACCCAATTAATATCTTGCAACTACATTTATCATATTGCAGCAGTCCCCAAGTTACAAACAAGTTTTGTTGGTTTGTTCTTAAGCTGAATTTGTATGCAAATCGGAACAGGTACATTTTTAAAGTGTAACTCCAACCATAAGCTTTGGACCACGTAGGGAAGGCTTAACACCTTGTGGTGTGTGTTATTCTGTCTATGCCTCTGTTCAGAAGATTTCACCTCAATTTCTGCTCCTTTGAGAATTAGATTTTGAAAAAATTGGCATGTTGTGGAATCAAAGATTGGTGATAAAGGCCCCTTCTACACTGACATATAAAATCCAGATGATCTGCTTTGAGCAGGATTATATGGCAGTGTAGACTCCGTAAGGACATTGGTTTCCAGACGGAAGGCAGTTCTGGTCAGGATTGGCTTGACGTGCCTTCCTCTTGGCACGTTTCTCCATTTTGCCCTCCATTTGTGCATCTTCAAATTCTGCAGCACTGCTGGTCACTGCTGACCTCCAGTTAGAGCGTTCAAGGGCCAGAGCTTCCCAGTTTTCGGTGTCTATGCTACAGTTTTTGAAGTTGGCTTTAAGTTCATCTTTAAATCTCTTTTCCTGTCCACCAACATTCTGTTTTCTGTTCTTGAGTTTGGAGTAGAGTAACTGCTTTGGGAGACGGTGATTGAGCATTTGGGCAACGTGACCAGTCCAGTGAAGTTGATGGTGGAGGAGCATCGCTTCAATGCTGGTGGTCTTTGCTTCTTCCAGCACACTGACATTTGTCCGCCTGTCTTCCCAAGAGATTTGCAGGATTTTTTGGAGGCAGCGCTGATGGAATTGTTCCAGGAGTTGCGTGTGACGTCTGTAGACAGTCCACGTTTTGCAGGCATGTAGCAGGGTTGGCAGGACAATGGCTTTATAAAAAAGGACCTTGGTCTCCCTATGAATGTCCTGTTCCTCAAATATTCTCTGCTTCATTCAGAAGAATGCTGCACTCACAGAGCTCAGGCAGTGTGTACATAGTATTGTATGAGACTTCATAGTGGTCCCCTCCTAGACTTTGGAACTCCCTACTGTGAGGGCACAGTAGCGCTGGACTGAAACTTCTTCTGCTGGTAGACAAAGATATCAGCAGTCAGACAAGTTCTTGGCTTTTATGTTAACTTCTTTGTAGAAATAGAATTTATTTGTTAATCATTTTGATGTGCTTTTAGTTTTTTTTGTTTCTCTGTTTTGTTTAACATTTTGTGATTTTTCTTTCCTTTCATTCTTGGCCATATTTGTACAGAAAGACAGAACATAAATGAATATAGTGGGCCCTTGGTATCCACTGGGGTTTTATTCCAGGATTGTCCATGTATACCAAAATCTGTGGATGCTCCAGTCTCATTATATATGATTGCATAGTAAAACGGTGTCCCTAATGTCAAATGACAGAATCACAGTTTGCTTTCTGAATTTTTTAAAAAAAGATGAATGGTCAATTTCATGGATACAGGGGAATGATTGTGTAATAATATATACGCGTGGAACATTTTTTTACACTAAGTTAAAATGTTGATGTTGGGGGTGAGATGTGCATAGCAGGCAGAATCCATCTTCTTTTCATACATTTCTGGTCCGCATGGGGATACAGAGCCAATTATGTCTCCTTGACTTGAATGCAGGAAATATCACCTGGACAATTTGCTGTTGTGAAGATGTCTTGGTCTTTTTGCATGTCAGTAACTCTCTCTCCAAGACATTTATACAGCCTATTGCAGGCATCCTCGAACTGTGGCCCTCCAGCTGTTTGGGCCTTCAACTCCCAGAATTCCTGATAACCGAACAAGCTCATTAGGGTTTCTGGGAGTTGGAGGCCCAAACAACTGGAGGGCCACAGTTTGAGGATGCTTGGCCTATTGCATTTAAATTGTATTTTAGTATATTTGTTTTAATACACATTTAATTCCACTGTAATATTTACCTTTTGTATATTTTAATTGCATTGCTTTTCAAATGTGAGCCACATTGGTCTTAATGCATAGGAAAAAACAGAGGAATAATAATAATAATAATAATAATAATAATAATTGTAATTTTACTTGCCACTGATCTAATATGTGTCCATGGATGCCCCATCACGGTTGGACTGAGGCTTGAGAGACATACATAGTTCATTGTCTATTTTAACAGAAATACCAGGTAGCATTCAAAGTAATCAATACTATGCAAATATGCATCATTTGTATAAGTTATTCATGCCATAGATTTTTGAGAATAGCATTTATAGAGGGGAAGAATAGTGCAGATGCAGAATTTTGATATTTCTACCATAGGGTACACATAGCAGTATGTATAAGGATAAATAACTAATGAAAAAATGTTGTATTTTTGCTAGTACCCTGACAAACACAACAGCCACAATCTGTACTTGAGGTGTTATTTTAATTCAGCAATAATTTAGTACTAAGTATTTGGATTGGCTCGATTTTCAGTTGCTTTTTCAATTTTGAAAAACAGTCATTACATTATTTTGACTAATGGCCAATATTTGCTATTAATTCCTTTACAAATCTTTGTCTTTTCCTCCATACAGTTTTTGCTCGAATCCTGAAAGCTCCTGAATCCTACAACATTAGCTTTGGCTCAGTGGTGACACTGCAGTGTGCAGCAACAGGCATTCCAACTCCCACCGTGACATGGCTTGAAAATGGAAAAGCTGTAAGTGTCCCTGCCATCTCTATGATTTGGTGTTAAGAACACATCCAACATTATATTGTCGAAGGCTTTCATGGCCAGAATCACTGGGTTGTTGTAGGTCTTTCAGGCTGTGTGGTCATGTTCTAGAAGCATTCTCTCCTGGTGCAAAACCGAGAACAAGCTATCAGAGTAAAGACAAAGATCCACCCAGAGGAAAAGTGTTCTTGCCGTACATCAAGGGAACCACTGACCGCATAGGGAAGCTGATTAGGAAACACAACATACAAACTATCTACAGACCCACTAAGAAAATCCAACAAATGCTACGTTCCGCAAAGGACAAGAGGGATCCTCTCGCCTCTGCAGGAGTCTATTGTATACCAGGCAGCTGTGGACAAGTCTACATAGGGACCACCAAACGCAGCAGCATTGCCCAGACATGAATCAAGGAAGATGAAAGGCACTGCAGACTACTTCAACCAGAAAATTTAGCCATAGCAGGGCACCTGATTAACCAACCTGTACACAGCATATTATTTGAGAACACAGAAATGCTGGACCACTCTAACAACCACCATGTCAGGCTACACAGAGAAGCCATTGAAATCCACAAGCATGTGGACAATTTCAACAGAAAGGAAGAAACCATGAATATGAACAAAATCTGGCTACCAGTACTTTATTATAACAGTAAACAAAGAAAAAAAATTCAAATGCAGGGGAACTCCAGACAAGAAAAAATCAGGAACAGCTAATCACCTCCCTACAAAAGATTTCCCCCAGGCAGTAACAAGTCACACCTAAAAACTGTCAGGCCATCAAATGCTAATCAAGGTGGACAATTGAAATATTCACACCTAGCTCCAACAGACATGAGTCCTTTCTCCCACCCTGGACTTTTCACAGATATATAAACCCAAGTTTCCTAGTTTCCAACAGACCTCACAATCTCTGAGGATGCCTGCCATAGATGCAGGTGAAACGTCAGAAGAGAATGCTTCTGGAACATGGCCACACAGCCTGAAAAACCTAGAACAATCCACAACCAACATTCCTTAACTGAGGGATGGTGTCAGTTAGACCTTGAAATCTGCTCACTGTGGCCGATTCAGTCTGGGTAACTGCATTGAACTGCATTATATGAATCTACACTGACAGTATAATACAGTTCCAAACTACATTATATGGCAGGGTAGATGGGACTCCAATCTTCCTTTGCTTTAGGTGACTAATATTGAAAAGGCAAAACTTCGCAACTAAGCATGAAAAGTCAACAGCATTTGCTTTTTGAAATCAAGGCTGGCTTAGACCTTAGGGAAGTGTGTTACATTTGGCCTGTTTCTATTTGCAGAGACTTTAAACCAACAATTCATTCCTTTTACCTTAGCCATGTTTGGGTTGGACTGTCAGCTCTTTGGCATTTGTGTCTGCAAGGCAAGAATCAGCTGCTGCCTCTCCAAGATGAAATCATTTACAATCTGACATACAGAACTATCTTTTCTGAGTGTTTGCCTTCCTCATTTAACAAAAGGAAGCAAGGGTTGACATTTGAAGACCGAATTGGCTGATCTTTTGGCTTTCTAAAGGATTAGACTAACCAGTCTTCGAGTACCCCTTCCATCAAGGCTGGCATTGCTCATGTCAACTGGTGCAGGTGGGATTTGTAAATCAGGATCTTATCACATCGAGGTCCTTGATGCAGGGAACAGCGGGAAGACCCTTAGGGCATTGGGGCAAATTGTGGGCAGCGGGGCAAATCTGTCACTGAGCGCCCTGCATCGCCATCACCACCTGCTTTCCCATCACACACCGGAAAGTGTACCTTTCTAGCATGATCCTACATTGTCCCCAGAATTACTAACATGAACATGGATAGTCTTCTGTGTTCAGGTTTCCCCCTCCTACTATGCTTTCTCAGCGCAGCCAGCACAGAGCACTGCTGGAATTAGATGTACATTGTGGGGTGAGATCTAGTAGGCTCTGTGATGGCTGCATCAAGGAAATCATAGGATGGGGAATTTAGGTAATGTGATAAAGTCATCAATCAGGTACATATTGTGGAAGACTATGTTAAACCATATCGTAATATGTATTGTAGAATACCATGCTAAACAACATCTTAAAAGATGAGGCTATAGATGATTTAAGAAATACTGTGTAGCCTAGTAATTTTAGTCAAAAGATTGATGCTAGGTCAAAGTATCATGCTTTAACTTTTATTAAAAAGGGGGAAACACCCTCCTTCTCTTAGCAGAAGTGTGAAAGGCAAGAATTTAGTCCACCCTAGAAGAACCTAAAAGCACTGACCACCTCTATTCTCTCCACTCCTGGCTTTTTTTTTAATGTCTGGGTGAGGAAATGGAGGTGGTGGCAGATGCTCTTTGATGCTTTCTCTCCAACGAGTGCCAAGAGTAGATGGAGTAGGTCCTTCTTTAAGGTTCTACTAGGATAGAATAAATTCTCATCTTCACCACTAAAAAAAAAGAAGGGAAAAGTTCCTTTTTGGATAAGGGTTAATATTGCTCGTTAATTTTGATAAAAAAATGGAACCATCTCCTTTTCTGAGTTTGAATGGCTAAGATGGCAGAATGACGCTTGACTTATCTATAGATCTATCAAAATCCATAATTTTGGTCCCCAAACCTGCCCTTGACTAATACATGAGTTCAACTTATCAGCATATTATGAATAAAGTCTTTAATCTGTCCTCAGTATTTATATTTCTCATAGCAGTGGGGGGGGGGGGTTGCTATAACAGTAAAAAGTGGTATAAAACTGACAGTGACTTGCAGCCGAGTCAAAGTTTGGGCTCTTCTTGGTAAAATTTTAAAAATGGATGTTTAAGGATTCAAAAGTGTCCAAGGATACAAACGTGTACCAATTTTATGTGTAGAGGGAATAATAACTTAAATAATAACTTAGCAATGGCTCACATTTCAAGTAGACAGGCTAAGTGTCAGCATAGAAGGGCTAAGGTAAAGGCAAAGGTTTTCCCCTGGCATTAAGTCCAGTCATGTCCGACTCTGGGGTGTGTTGCTCATCTCCATTTCTAAGCTGAAGACCCAGTGTTGTCCAAAGACACCTCCAAGGTCATGTGGCCGACATGACTGCATGGAGCGCCATTACTTTCCTGCCAGAGTGGTACCTATTGATTTACTCACATTTGCATGTTTTCAAACTGCTAGGTTGGCAGAAGCTGGGGCTAATAGTGGAAGCTCATGCTGCTCCCCGGATTTGAACCTGCGACCTTTTAGTCTACAAACTCAACAGCTCAGCGGTTTAACCCACTGCACCACCGGGGGCTAAACAATGTAATTATTGGCTTGCTGTGAGTCTTCTGGGTTGCATGGCCATGTTCCAGTAACATGATCTCCTGATGTTTCACCTGCATCTATGGCAGGCATCCTCAGAGGTTGAGAGGACATAATTATTTGTAATGCTAGTAACGTTTTACTAGCAATTTTCTATTAGTTTCTATTAGTTTCCATTAGGTTGCAATGATGAACTGGTTTTCGAACCAGCTTTTAAGGTAGCTGCAACATGGGGTTGTTTTAGTTTAAGAAGTCTTGGCAAATGATTGGCCATATACTGACGCTATTTTCAATCCTTCCTTAGTTGTTTTTCCTGTCTCTGAGAGTTCAATCTATGAACGTGGCAAGGAAAGTATTATTTACTGTGTGGTCCCAGGCTGGGAGTGTATGAGTCTGACTCACTCTTCAAGTTCTCAATTTCCTTTCCAGTATTTTCAGCCAGAGCAGAACACGGCACACAAAAACCACCAGATGATAGTTCTTTTCAGATTTAGGTTCGGCAAGGGGAAGGGAAACCAGCAACTTTGCTGGAGGCCGGAGGAATCAAAACATCTGAATGACTGCACTATTAACATCATATTTCCTTCCCCAGTTAGGTGGCATATGAAGGATCTGAAAAATCTCTGTTTGACCTTAAAAAGAAACATTAAAGCAAGGCTTTAGTTCTTATGCATTTTGGTAAAATATGTCAGCAAAACTTAGCCAAATTTAGCAAAACTGCAGGACAGGAATTTGTATATTCCAGTGACAAAGTATTGTTCACTATTAGTCTGTTTCCTTATACATTTTTCCCAATTTCATTTTAAACTATTTACATTCAAAAGGGCTCTAAGTTGCATTCAGTAATGTTCCAGTATAAGAAAAGTAGGAAAATAAAAACACAAAACGGTGAAATGACTACATCATTTGTCAGTTTGTGTTAAAAGTTGACCAAATGTCCAAATATAAGTCCATTTGTAAATTTTGTCTATACATTTCAAATGTTGGAAGTCTTGTTCTATCTTCAACAACGAACAACAGCAAACTTTATTGTGGTCCATGGACCCGCATCTGTTATATAGATAACATATCGGCGTTAACAGATCACTTGTTCCATCTTGTATCCATTGGAAGAAAAATTATCTTTCCCATAATTAAGTATCAATTCTTTAGCTGTTTCTGAATAACAAGAGATTTTACAGTATCAGATTTACTCTTGAGGTTATTTTCTCCCAAAGTGTAGATGGTACAACTCCGAAACACATACCCTAAGGCTGTGGTTCTCAAAGTGCACTCTGGGGAGCCCTCTGCAAAGCATCTTGAGGGGCTCCATGGTTCCCTCTTGCTCCTCATTTCCCCCCCCTCCTCCTCTAAGCTTTCTCTTCCCTTTCCTGCTTCTCCCCCATCCTGCCAAAAAGCTATTTTTTCTCACCTTCTTCACCGCCCAGATCCGCTTCGCCTCACCTCCTTTGCTTCTAAAACCCTGTCCCCCCCCCCAACCACTCAAGGGGTGCTTTGCTTGTGCTTTTCTTGCATGGCAGGAGGGGTTTGAACTGGATGACCCCTGGAGTTTCTGCTTCTGCTGCTKCTATTGCTATTACAAAGACTGGATGATCGTCTGTTGGAGGTGCTTTGATTGTGCTTTTCCTGCATGGCAGAAGGGTGTTGAACCAGATGGCCCCTGGGGTCTTTTACTGAAATACTGTTAAGCTGTTGTTGGTCAAAAAGTTTGCCTATGCCTATTATATCTACATTATATATAATAGGTAATATAATATATAAACTTTTTTGAGACTCTACGAGAAACTTTTGCTTCAAAAAGGGTTCCATGGATGAACAAGTTTGAGAACCCCTGTCCTAAGGAATCATTAACAATTATATAACCATCCCTTCATTACCACTGTAGAGACTTTCTGTCCATCCCCCAAATCTTTGGGATCACAAATCTGACTTTTGTTTTATTTTAGTTAACTTTATATGCTATTAAGTGCATTGCATATTCATAATCATGGTATTTGTAATCCCTGGTCAGTTGGAATGATTTGGAAAACTTGGACCAAATGCTTTGATATTCCATATTTGTGTACAGTAAAGAAGTGTAATTGGTGCATTCACAATCTGGTTTTTTTTTTCATGCAAAAATACTCACTTTCTCTGTTGAATGAATATATCTGTGACAGCAGAGAAATCTACAGACATCCAATTGAAAATATGACAAAAGAGTTTAAGTATGGGATTTGATTAATCTCTTGCATTAGCTCAGACATGGCAGCACCTGAATGAACTCAAGGAAATTTGAGTTCATGCCCTGAGGAAATTGCTTCTGCACACCAGAAATAATAATTTCTGCACATTTAATCCAAGGAAGTGATTTCTGAAGAAAGAAACCAATTGATTAAATGCTGTACTCAGAACAAACAGAACTGTTTAAACAGTAATGGGAAACCCAGTTTGGTCATTTTGTGGATTGACACAAGCACTTTTTCATGAGACCAGCCTCTGTTTTTTTTTTTTTAAGCATTGGCATGGGTACCTTTATTAATGTAGGGATTGTGCCTTTCTAATTAAAGGACGCCTAGCACTGGTTATCAATCAGACTGTGGTGTTAGTGATGGCCTATATATTTTTGCATTGAAATATTTTGGGGATCAAATGTCATGGAGGGATGGAATGAGTGCAATATTATTGTACTAGTGAAACATACATTCTGAGTAGAGTGCACTTTAAATTATTGTGCATTATCTTCCAGATTTAAAAAGTGATGAAATTTTATAACTGACATGATATTTGTGAATAAAAACACTGGGGTTTTTTTTTCGTGTCAAGAGCGACTTGAGAAACTGCAAGTCACTTCTGGTGTGAGAATTGGCTGTCTGCAAGGATGTTGCCCAGGGGACACCCGGATGTTTGATGTTTGCCATCCTTGTGGGAGGCTTCTTTCATGTCCCCACATGGGGAACTGGAGCTGAGAGGGCTCTCAACCTGCTCTCCCTGGATTTGAACCACTGACCTGTCAGTCAGCAGTCCTGCCAGCACAAGGGTTAACCCATTGTGACACTGGGGGCTCTAAAAGCTTAAACTTGCTAGATGGCCATTCTCTTACTGTCTTAATTGTGTGTTTTGTACAAAGGTGTAGGAAAATGCACATCAGCAAACACTCAATACTCTATAGTTCAGAGGATGCTATAACTGGGAGCATAACCAGTAATAGGTAATCTGGTGTTGGTATTTGTGCAAGAATATCACTCTTTCTAAATTTTCACTTCACTTCAAAGAATTTTAACAATTTTCTTCCTCCTGTGAGATAGACTTCAATAACTGCATTTTCCCAAGGCCTCAATTCAGTTTGGGATTTATCCTGGGTAAAATTTGCACATAGATATTTTTCACAAACACCAAAATGTTTTGGACAAAAAATATGCTGTTTTCTGTACAAAAGAACAATGTGATTTCAGGATTCTTCCCATGAGTTTTAAAAACAATTTTCAAGTCTTTTTGAATATTTTTTTTCCATCCCTGTGTTGTGTGTCTTCATGTTGTTTCTGGCTTGAACTGGTCACAGGTTTTCTTGACACGTTTTTTTCCGATTGCTTTTGTCTAAGAGATTATGATTTGTTCAAGGTCATCCAGTGGGTTCCCATGGCAAAGCAGGGATTTGAAGTCTAGTTTTCCAGAGTACTACTCTAATACCAGAACCAGTGTACCACAGTTAATCTGATATAAAGTTAACTACCTTGCAAGTATTTAATTGATTATAAACTCCCCTAAAGTGAGTATAGCTTAAACTTCTGGGAAAGAAGGAGGATACAAATTTAATGAACTAAATAGAAAACAAAATTTGTGTCTGTAGTACAGTAGAACTGCTGCTATAACTATTTTAATATAGAAAGTTCTTTTGAGAGAACTTTGTAATTAAAAGTTCTCACAAAACAACCCCTGAGGATGTTCTCATTTTATGTGTGGGGAAGTGGAATTGATAATGGTTTCCTTAAGGCCTCAAAATTTTAAAAGCTTTGGTGGAGGAAGCCCTGCCTTCACATGATATTCTGGATAATAAAAGATTTCATGACCTCATCTTAGGACACCTGAGAAAGAATTAAAAGCTTCAACATATAGTACCTAAAGCTAGTCAAACTATTTGGCCCATCAGACAGAAAAAAACCCCATATGTTTCTAATCATCCCTCATGGTAAAAATATAGTATAAATAAATTAAATTACCATTTTCTTCCCTTTCATGCTTTTGTGTGTGTGTGTGTGTGTGTGTGTGTGTGTCAGGAGCGACTTCATGTCATGCTAACAAACAATGTTGAAGTGGCTGCATCGCTTTGCCAATGGTAGAGCTGGATTCAGTTCTGAGCTTCTCCGTTTGCTCAGGACACTTCCAGATAGTGCCAAAAGGCGGGATTAATATGCGGGATAAACAAACCCAGGACCTCAAAGCAGGTCCTCACACAGACCTGCGGGTCCCAGGCTATCATCCCCTGCTATCCTCACAATCTTTCTGTGTCTTGGGATAAAATGGAGAGCAGATGAGAGATATCCGCTGGAAGTTTTAAAAGTAATTTTAAAAAACCACTCAATTCACAAATACGAATATCCTAATACAAATATGGAGAGATTCCTATGTGCACATAAAAACATCAGTGTGTAATGGCAGGATTTTTTTTAAAGATGCTGCTGGATTTCCCTCTTTCCTTATTCATGATCTATTTAATATTACAAAGTTTAAAATAAACACTTTCGGATACCTCTAATGGTTCTTCTTCTCTCTTGAAACCAGCCGGAAATCAGCTATGTCTCTATGGGAGCCCAAACAGCTGATTGGCTGTTTTGGGCTTTTAAAAACCAGCATAGGCCAGGAAGCAGTCTCCACAGGGGGTAAAGAGTGAAATCCCAAACTTTACATGACTGCAGGTCACATAGTCATGGGAAAATCCACTTTACTCACCTGGAACTGGGATAAAAGAGAACCTTTTTAAATTGGGTTTTCCCTCCATTGCTGTGATTGAGTGTGCATTTAGCACAAACATCACCCCCCCTTTTTTTTTACCTGTTCTCATCTGAATTATAGGTACTGTCTGGAAGTGCCCTCAGTTCTTTAAACCTGCAGAGCCTGGAAGCAGTTAATAACTCAGCTAATAACTCAGCAATATATTAGAACTAGTTACATCGAATTAGTCAGTGTATGCACATCACAATGATCACTTAATAAGAATAACCTTAATTCTTCTGTGGTGTAGCATTTATATAAAGAAAATAGCTGCATCTAAGAAATGGGAAAATAGCAACTTGTCTTTAAGTCTGTTACGCTAATGCCAACTTAGTGCATTTACTTTGGCAGTAAAACTGCAGCCCAATTACTTTCTACATGTACCGTATATACTGATGTATATGTCAAGAACAGGTTTTGAGGCCAACCTTATGCATTTTTATGTGATTTGTAGATAAATAAGTGTATATTTGCAGAAATGGGAATGCAACAATGCCACCTCAGCTGACAGCCATTCCTGACCACTGCCATTTCCCCACCCAGGCATTGATAAAACCCAGAAACAGAAAAGAGTAGAGGTACTTCCAGAATAGAGAAGAGCTCTTTGCCATTCCACAGATATATAAACCCATTGTCCTAATTCCAACAGACCTCACTACCTCTGAGGATGCTTGCCATAGATGCAGGCGAAACGTCAGGAGAAATGTCTCTAGAACATGGCCCTATAGCCCAAAAAAAAAAACCCACAAGAACCTAGTGATTCCAGCCATGAAAGCCTTCGACAATACACTTCCAGAATAGCCTAAGCTCTCCTCTGTTACCATTCTTTTCGCCCCCAGTGGCACAGTGGGTTAAGCTTGTTGCGTGAAAGGTCGCAGGTTCGAATCCAGGGAATGTGTGAACTCCTGTTGTTAGCCCCAGCTTCTGCCAACCTAGCAGTTCAAAAACATGCAAATGTGAGTAGATCAATAGGTACCACTCTGGCGGGAAGGTAATGGCGCTCCATGCAGTCATACCAGGCACATGACCTTGGAGCTGTCTATGGACAACGCTGGCTCTTCGGCTTAGAAATGGAGATGAGCACCAACCCCTAGAATTGGGCATGACTGGACTTAATGTCAGGGGAAAACCTTTACCTTTACCTTACTTACTGATGGTTCCTTTAAAAATATGACTCAAGGTACACTGATCTGTGAATAAGTCAACCCAAGCTTTGGGAGTCAATTTTTATTGACTAAAATGTCTAGATTTATACATGCAATAAGTATATACAATGATATTTCTAAGCCATGTTCATTCCTAATGTCTCTTTGTTTTCAGGTCTCAGCAGGATCTATTGTAGAAACAGTAAAAGACAGAGTGATTGATTCTAGACTTCAGGTCTATGTCACCCGGCCCGGTCTGTTCACTTGTATAGCTACCAATAAGCACAGCGAGACTTATGGCACTGCAAAAGCTGCGGCTACAATCAATGTGTCAGGTATGTGTTAGAAAACAAGGCTGGTTGTGGAGGATTAAATGACATTTAAGTCAAGCCCAAGCTTTTCCTCTCACACATAGAGGTATCTTCAAAAGGGTTGGCTGCCTTGAAATTTACAGGGGGATAAATTTGACCTAGGAGTGCACCTTGTTCCTGGCTATTTTGTTCTACATCATTACACTTCAGAGGTTGGCACAGCTATAATTTTGACATATTTGCTGCTGCCTTGATTACACTGTGCCAAGAGCATGCTGTAAACTCATCCAGAAGCAGGAAGTAACTCTGACGGAGCACTATATTAATATCATCAAGAAATTCTGCGGAAATACTTCAGTGAGCTATCAACATCTTGAGTATTACTTACAAGCAAGGGTGGGTATTGGGGGGTTGATCTCAAAGGAACACATAGAGAATGCATCCAGAAATTCTGTACTCTCCAGTGAGGATATAAATTTTTTGCAAGCTGTCTTGTCCTTGAGAAGAACTTATTGAAAAAATGATCTGCTGTTGTATGATTTTTTTTTGTTCTGGTTTGTCAGAGAAATTGCTAGTTATTTCAACCCAACTCTCTACATTCTTTTGTGTTGGTTTCGTTTTTCTTTTTTGTGCAAAAATGTTGTATTTTGCACATAAAGAAAAGGGATAGTGATATTTTCAACAAAAAAGTCCCAAAATGTGGAAGTGATTGAAAAATGCCCAACCCCAAAATAAGGAAAGGTTTCCACCTTTACTCTATGGAGCCACAACATAATGAAGTTTAATGATACCATGTGACATTCAAAACAGAAAAGACTAACTTCTGTATTCCTCTTTGACTGGAAGCATATTAGAGGGTTTCACTTTTGCAGATTTGATTATTTTTAGTTGTGACTGATAAGTTTTCTTTAGGAATCTCTAGGTATTCCAGCATGACTTATCTGGAATTTGACCATAGACAAAGGACCTCTTTGCATTGGTGATTTTTAGTGTTCTAGTCTAGGATGCTTGGAGGATGCAGGGAGGACAGAGCTTGCCAGATGCCATGAGACAAAGCACAGCTACTTCTGGTGGGCCTCCATCCTTCCAGCGTCCTGGCAGTGTGATAGCACGCCTCCCAGAGATCATGGCAACTGGACAGTTAAGCTCCCCCCACCATGGGATGAGTAAGGGGATGGTGTGGGCACGTGGGCAGTGCGGGGCACAGGGCACAGGGTGACGGGTTCCCCGGCTACCTGCCAGATTCACCACACTGCATGGCAAATCTTCCCACTATCACCCACAAATTGGACCTCAATGTGATGAGGTCCCTAGATATCCCTAAAGAGAACATTTCTTTAGGTATTTGTAGGTCAGCCAGGGTGACTGTATGGTCAATGTCAGACGAAATGTGATTACAGAATCACATTGGGGGAACTAGAGATTCCTTGAAAAGTGTTCTCTCAGATTTAAGAAGTGTTTCTATTATTTATGTCTTGCACCCCCACCCCAGCGAATATGGAGGACTTTATGTCTATCACAATTGTTGATTTTCATATTCCCCTAGTTTTTTGGCATGCCACAAGGCCTATTGCCACTTAAAATTCCCATGCTACCTGCCAGATTCACCACATTGGATATAAATGAGCAATCCAAGGTGCGTAGCCTTATCTGGAAAACAGCTTGCCAAAACCAAATGCTGGAGAAGATTAATTGATGTGGGAACCACCAGTGGCCACTGGGTGTGTGCACCTTGTTTCTGGCTAATAGTGTTCCTGGAAGTATCCCGGGTGCATTATTTTGACTGGAAGCATGGTGTGCTATTCATTATCCCTTGCTCTAGAAACACCAAAGTAAAAAACCTACATAAATCCTATAAGCTTTAGTTGAATTTTAAAAATTTCTAAAAATGGAACACAAACAGAACTAACCATTTTTTGCTTCTCTTTTTTTCTTCACTTCCCCATACCTATTGCTTTGTTTGGATGGACCTTGTGACTACATTTAGAATGGAGGTAAGAATATTTAGATGGATTTCATGGAGTTTGTGTTTTAGAATAGATACATATGTTTGTAAGCTGGTTCTGTATGCTGAATAGCTGAAAGCAGATCTTATGAGTGACGAGTAGCCACTGCTAAATACAACCTTATTCTACATATCAATGGATTCTGCATCCATGGATTCAACCATCAACAGCTTGAAAATATTCTGCAAATACTCAAAAAGCAACCAAGAGTTGTGTTGCCAGCATTGATTTATGAGCACCTTTGACCTTCGCTCATAAAGGTACCTATTAATCTACTCACATGACATGTTTTCAAACTGTTAGATAGGCAGAAACTAGAGTTAACAGCAGGAGCTCACCCCAACCCAAGGCTTCGAGCTGCCAACCTTCCAGTCAGCAGTTTTTCCACAGCTAGTGGTTTAACCCACTATGCTACCATGGCCCCAATAGCAATAACAACAGGAATGTGAAGAAACTGGTGAAATTATTCATTCGTAGTAAGATGTCATGTGAAGAATTTATAGAGTCCTGTGAGACTTCTCACCTCTAGAGCAAAACCAAGACAATAAACATTTCTCTCCCCCCCCCCTCTAAAATGTTTCATAATATAAGGTTTCATATATCTCTATGTAAAGCTAATCTCTTTGGCCTTTGTGAAGTAAAAGACATGCATATATACAGAGCAGACACAGAGAGATGGGTTGGTAGAAGAAAAAAAATGCAAAGAAACCATCCAATTTTTCTCATTCTTAAAGGTCCACGTGACATATCAGAACATTTTGCTCTTTTGCCAATATAGTGATTGGTGGCCATTTGCAACATTCACACTTGCCTCAAGCAGACAAGAGTTTTTTTCTCCCACCCACAGATATATAAACCTCACTTGCCTACTTTCCAACAGACCCCTCAACCTCTGAGGATGCCTGCCATAGATGTGGACAAAACATCAGGAGAGAATGCTTCTGGAACATGGCCATACAGCCTGGAAAACTCACAGCAACATAGTGGTTCTGTTTTTGCAGTTTCTTGTCCTTGCATGCAAGAGCACAGCAAGCAACGATTTACAGCCCTAGTTGTACAACAGTTTGCAACTGGTCCTGGGTCAGGATGTGAATACATATGATACAATAACTTTGCAGAACACATCTGTTTGGTCAGTGCCTGGAAAGGAAATCACCCGAGAACCACCTAAAGTTGTGAATCCAATGATGGGAGGAAGACCGGATATGCATGCAGTAAATAAAACAATACTGCAAGCAGGCCCATAGCCAGGATTTCGATTTGGGGGGGGGGGGGCTGAATGTTTTTCAGGTGGGGAGTTGGGGGGGGGCTGAGTTTCGGGGGGGGGGTGAGTCTGAGTGAAAGAGGGTCTAGCCTAGCAAACCTTTTGTATCATTACCCCAATACCCCCATGCATATGGGATATATTGAGTATGGTGATCAGATCATGATATGAATAAACATAACATAAATAATGCACCAGTAAGGCCTTTTCGCGAACCACCATGAGAATTTAGGGGGGGGGGGTTGAAGCCCCTCAAGCCCCCCTCCCCCCGGCTACATGCCTGACTGCAAGCAAAGTCCTCAAGTCCTCCAATTCAAAACTTCAGGAGTAAGAGCTCCTGAAATCTTGGAGGATACTTTTATATTTTGTTGTAGTTCCCACCTGCAGCATTGATTAGGAAACCAGCCCTTGGCAGAATGACACATAATAGTTGAGAAAGCCACAGGCAGTGTATATATCATTCATGAAGCAGGATTGCAGAAGCCTTCAGAAAAAGCAATCTCACTTTTGGCTCATCTACTATTTTCCCCGGGGGCACTGCACCGCTATCATGTTGCTGTCATGAAGAATGGCTTCCTTTTCTTTAGGATATAAGTGAAAAACATCCCGCTCTGTTTGTATACCAAAAGAAGCAGAAATATAGATGTAAATCTTAATCCAACGCTGGGATGCACAAAAAGGCAAGCAAGCAAGAAGCGTTCCTACAGCTCCACAGCTGGAATGCATTTGTACATGTTGAGTTCTGGGGAAAGCTTTTGAGACATTTTGTCAATAGCAGGCTGTGCATTTTCCTTCAGGCAAATGGATTAATGATGAATCTTAAAGGGAAAGACATTTTCACAAATGTGAAGATAGCTCAGCTGGCATTTCCAAATATTTAGGGCTGATGTAAACTGAACTCCGTGACCTTTGTGTAAACTGTCAAAGAATGAACAGCAAAGATGGCCTTGTCTTGTCTGCCTGCATCTTTTTATATAGAGCTAAAATAATACAGCAAGGCAGAGGCCACTAGAAGTGTGCAGTTGATGCTTACCAGGGCTTTCACTGGCAGCAGAATCCAAATTAGGCTTGGAAATAGAGGTGTGAATTGCTTTTTTGTGTGAGTAATTTCATAAGATGAAGCTGAATTTTTTTTGAACTTTTGAATTATTAGACCAAGTTCCAGGAATAATTTTCATCACTATGTATGGGTAAGCGGGCTAGTAAAAATGCTTGAATAATAATAATAATAATAATAATAATAATAATAATAATAATAATAATAATACTTTATTTATATTCTGCCCTATCTCCCCAGAGGGACTCAGGGCGGATTCCAAACATAAAAGGCAAACATTAAATGCCCGAATACAACAACAATACATCCATAGTAATGAAATTTAGTAACCCGACATATACACACAAATTATGACTTAAAAACTAAAATTAAATAAAAAACACAACTTGTTATATGAGACATAAGACAAAACATCAAACGGAGGCATCAATTTCCCTGTCCCTTGGGGGCAAATAGATTGATCATTGCTCAAGGTATCTATTGAGCTGGCGGGGCAAACAGGGCACGGATATGGATGGTAGCTATTAATCAAAGGTATAGTGGTAGTATTACCATCTACCTTCTCATAAGCCAGCTGTTTCTTGAAAGTGGGGAGGGAGGGGGGTCATCTTTAACTCCTTAGGAAGGGAGTTCCAGAGGTGGGGGGCAGCCACGGAAAAGGCCCTTTCTCTCGTTCCTTCCAGCCGTGCTTGGTGGGACCAAGAGGGGCCCCTCCTCCAATGACTGCAGTGTCTGAGTTGGTCTGTAGTGGGAAATGTAGTTTGTCAAATAGTCTGGACCCAAGCCATTTAGGACTTTAAAGGTAAGAACCAGCATTTTGTATTTGTATTGAAGGGCAGTACATTTTATGGACTTACTGGAAAATGAGTTCTAGGGCATGCAAGAAATAAGTAAATGTTTGTAGTCACCAAACCCATTTGTATTTGAAGTTTCTACCGTTCTGTAGACATATTTTATAATGATCCAGCTTGCATCTGATAAACAAGGTTTGAAAAGGTCTTATCCAGTGCAGGAAACCTTCACATTATTGACAAAGATCATTCAGATCTCCTGTGAGATTTCCAACGTTGTGGCCAGTGAGTCCAGTGGAAAATGGATCTTAAAACACTGGTCCTCCAGCCACACTGACCCCCCTCTTCAAGCTGTCTGTCAAATATGGAAAGGTCTCAGGGTGGATCTACTGAATGTGGTGATATTGGGGCAAGGCAGTGAGCACAGCTTTTGTTTACTCCCTCCATGTGTTCTTCCTATTCTGAAGTGACTTCCAGATTGCAAATAAAATGTTTAAATAACCACTTGTTTGCTTTTGTTGGCACATTTCATCCATCCACAGAAATTCTGTTGTCTCTCCCACCAGCAGACTTTACAAAGGTGATGCAGGCTACTGCAGCACATACCGTGGAGAGGTGTGTAGAGCTCTGTTAGCAAAGGATGCATTTGTTTTCTTCAACGCTTCCTATGGAGACCCGGAGGAAACACAGGAACTGCTTGTCCGCACAGCACTGACTGAGCTCAAAACCGTGAGTCCTTTATGCCGCCCTGCTGCTGAATCACTGCTCTGTCACTACATCTTCCAGGAATGCAACCCCTCCAGGAGTGGACCTGCTCCCAAACCTGTTTGCAGGTAACACATGTGAGCAAAGCAAATACATCTGATCTTTGATCTGCTTTTGATAATTTCCCTCCATACTGGAAAAAGGATAGACTAAATATCGCATAGGAGGAATTTTCCCCAAATCTGTGATCATCATGAGGAGACAACTAGAATAATGTCGAATTGTGTCTTTTTCAGTATAATGGTCCTCCCATCATATGATCCTATGTTACAAAATGTGGGCATCAAAATACATGGAGCCCCCAGTGACGCAATGCGTTAAACCCTTGTGCTGGCAGGACTGAAGACTGACAGGTTGGAGGTTCGAATCTGGGGAGAGCGTGGATGAGCTCCCTCTGTCAGCTCCAGCTCCCCATGTGGGGACATGAGAGAAGCCTCCCACAAGGATGGTAAAACATCAAAAACATCTGGGCATCCCCTGGGCAACATCCTTGCAGGCAGCCTATTCTCTCACACCAGAAGAGATTTGCTGTTTCACGAAAAACAAAATCAAAATACATAGCATTAGTAATAATAGTTGCTCCCTAAAGAACCCAAAGACTTAAAAAAATGTTTCCCTGGATGCAGAAGATTCCTCCCACCCAATCCTAACGCCATATTATTGATGTGCTGGGCGTTCTTCTTCTGGCTTTTGGGAACAAGGAAACAATTTTTCAGTTGTTTGGATCTGGGCCAGTAACTATTTGCTCTTTTCATCCTATACCGCCAAACTGATGTATATGTAATTTTCAAAACTGCAAATTTGCCAAATTTATTCCACCCTAGCTAAAATTATATGGGCCCAACCAGTCATTGCTGCCACCATTTATTAATACAAGTACGAAGTGTGGCTTTGTGTTTTGTTTATAACAATATCCAAAGGCTTGCATGGGATTAGAGACTTATTTTTAAAATATATGGACATACAACTATTTTCTTAGGTGTTGCAGAACTCCCCAAACCTCATAAGATGTCACAAGCTTTGGTCAGCATGCTTTTGGTTTTTCTTCAGTTATATGGAACCTATTGCACATTTGGTTAATTGACTCATAGGTCATTCTATAAAAGTTAAGCCTCACCAAATCCATTCCAAGATAGGTTTCCTACTCTGACGAAAGCTTGTTTGGGGTCAAACAGCCAATGCAACTACCACCTGTTAGTACAAGTAAGAAGTGTGGATTTCTGTACTGTTTATAAAAGCATTTATCTTGTCTTTCATGGTTGTGAAAGGGGAGGGGGAGATAAGATAGATAGGACCGTGCAGTTCATTCTTTCCGTCTGACTCTGAGCTCCCGGAATAAAGAAGATTAAGAGTGTTTGCATGTTTTGATAAGAAAGCAATGTGCTTATATTTGTGATTAATGGAACACAGCAGATATCCTTTTGTAATTCTTCCTCATCAACATGTAGCTAGCTGTTCTCTAACCAATAGTGGCCGTGTAGAAAAGACGTAGAAGCAATTCTCTTTTATTAACCTCCCAAATCATCACTGCCATGAGATTTGCATCTGGTGGTTTGATTACCACATATGGCAATCCTCACCTAGCAGTTTCTTGGCACAATTTATTCCTCAAAAGTTTACTTTTGCCTTCTTTAAAGTCAAAATGTGATTTGTTCAATTTCCATGGCTGAGTGGGGAGATGAAACCTGGTCTCCACAAGTCCTTGTCCAACATTCAAATCACAATGATATATTGGCTGTTTTGTTTAGATTGGGAGAATCATTGTTCCAGCGTGTGTGTGTGTGTGTGTGTGTGTGTATATATAGCACAGAACACAATTGTTTTCAATGATAGCAGCACATATCCTGTATAAATTAATTTTAAATTCAAGCCTCAAAACAGTTAGGGAAGATGTTCCAGAAGCATTCTCTCCTGACATTTCACCTACATCTATGGCAGGCATCCTTAGAGGTCTACAGACCCCTCAACTGCTAAGGATGCCTGCCATAGATGTGGATGAAACTTCAGGAGATAATACTTCTGGAACATGGCTGTACAGCTCAGAAAACTCACAGCAACCCAGTGATTCTGGCCATGAAAGCCTTCGAAAACACAGTTAAGGAAGAGTCATTTTCATTTACCGTTGTTACCACAATCATGTTATCACACCACTGACTTGTGCATTCCACTGTTGTTTGTAAAACAATGTAGAGAGCATTGCCTTGCTGTAAAGGATCTGTACTGCTTTAAGGAATGGCTTTCGATGGAAGAAAATGCCCGCAGAGGCATCTACAAACCGGGGCTGATGTTGCTTACCCTGCCAGAGTGCAACAGACTCCCCAGCTTACATCAGGATCCTAAGGCCTGCACATGGATTCCACATCTAGGTAAGTGGGCCATTAAAAGGCTTGTACAGCAGAACTTTAAGTTCCCCTTAGATTAGGCAGGGGCAAGAAAACGCACAGCAGTTGTACTTGAGTTCATGACATATTTATAGGCATCTGCTCTGAATGAGAATTCGGCACACTATTAATTCCTGTGAAATTTCAAAATTTAATCATGCACATGAGTGTGTTTGGATCAAAACCATAAGGAGCAGAAACCTTAATCTGTTCAGTGCTCTAGGTCCTTTCATAACTAAAGAAGACAGAAATTAGCAGGTGACATTTTGTATAGGATGGGGCTAAACTGGAATCCCCTGCAAATTATTTCTGGAATGGAAGGGACTGCTGTCCTAGCAAGCTGAAAAGTTAGCAGAAGAAACAGGAGACGTGCCTCAAGGTGCTGAAGTGATGAATGTTTAAATAATAAAAAACCCCACTTTAAACTAATAAGGTACCTAACAATTAAGCATCTTGTGTTGCTAGTTTCCTCTGTTGATTTTCTTAGTTTTTGCTTGGTTTTCTCATGTTTTTGCTTCACTTGGCTAAAAACTGAGTAATTCTATATTCACACCTTGGTTATTGTTCCCTGATTTTGCAATTTTCACACTATCGCCAATGCAATCTGTTTTGTTCTGTTATGTTTAGTGTGTTTTATCTTGGTTGTTGTATTTTATGATGCTCCCACTTTAATGTGTATTGTTTTATGGATTGTTTTTGCTTTTATGTTTTGTGGGAGATGGTGATGGGGTATAAGTAAATAATAATAATAATAATAATAATAATAATAATAATAATAATAATAACAACTATTATTATTATTATTATTATTATTATTATTATTATTATTATTAGAGGGGCTTGGATGGCCAATGTTTTTATCTGCTTTTGATCTGTATGGATTGCAATAATCCATCTTCAGCCCCATTGTAGGGGAAAAAGTGGGGTATAAATGAATAAAATCATCTTTCACATCATCATCACCACCACCACCACCCTCGTCCTAATCATCGCAATCTCCACTGATTACATTTTGCTTCTGTCTTTTTCAGATCTTAAAAAGGAAGATGTAACAAGTAAGTAGTTATTTTCAGGATCTGGACTTCACTAGAACATAAGACTGGTACAGTCATCCTGCCATGTCTATGGATTGTATACCCACAAATTCAAGCCTCCAAGGTTTGAAAAATTCAAATTAAAATCCCAAAAACAAATCTTCCAATTGTCATTTTAGACAAGGGACACCATTTTCCTTTGCCGTTGTGTATAATAGGACTTGTGCTTCTGTATAATTGTAATAAGCAGAAAGCTTAGCATTGTGAACTCCTGTCTTCCCTCTCCTTCTCCAGCACATTTATGGGAAGGAAATTAAAAACATTTGCTTCTGATTTTAATTGCCACTGTTATGTACAAAACAAGAATGCAGTTGGTGATAAAACTATAACTTATCAACACCATACCAGATAATTAACTATGGATTCGAAATGGTCTTGTTTCAACAAACCATGGTTAGAACACTAATATTTGTCTAGGCATAATTATAAACTTATTCAGTTGAAATATGAAGGAAATGCTTTTCTTTGCATCAATAGCATTGCAAAGTAGGAGAGGCAAATTCATGCTCATAGGGTTCATGCATTTCACACTAAAATACGTTTTAACATTATTTGTGAATGCAGAATCTCAATCTCCTTGTAGAAAATACCATGCAGACATCAGACAGCGGGGCCTTAAAATCCACTAGGGGTTGGTTTCAGGACCCCCATGAATGCACAAGTTCCATTATATATACAAAGATGTACTAAACTTGCCTCCCTTATATAACATGTCAAAATCAAAGGCTTGGGGTAATTTTTAAAACAATATATATCTTCAAGCTGTGGATGGCAGAATTCGTGGAAACAAAATCCATGGATATGGAGGGGCTGACTATAGCATCTTCCCGAAGGGACTCATGCCGGCCACATGACCTTGGAGGTGCCTACGGACAATGCTGGCTCTTGGGCTTAGAAATGGAGATGAGCACCAATCCCCCTAGAGTCAGATACAAGTGGAAAACCTTTACCTTTACCTTTTATGGTCAAATAGGCAAACCCTGAGAAGGGAGCAAAGCCCCGAAGATGTGTTTTTAAAATGATAAATGTTGAAGTAGTCCACAAACAACCTCATGAATGAGATTATGTGGTTAATTTAACCTGCCAAAAGTCATCCTATCACCCTCATCATGAACTGAGCCTCCCCATTTGAATCCCCTGCCATTGTATGGTCACCCCAACTGAAGGAAAGCTCTTCAGCCTTTCAATATTGTTGGAGGAAATGTGATCTGTACAGCCATATGGAATGGATTGCGTGAATTTTACTGTCGTGTCTTACCTTTCCTTTTCAGCAACTTGTTACAAAGGCAATGGGTTAACCTACGAAGGTTCTGTCAATGTCACAGCCTCCGGCATTCCTTGTCAGAAGTGGAGCGAGCAGGTGAGGAAGCACATTTCAAAGAGGAGGAAGGAACCTGTATAAAGCAGGCTTTAAAATCCATGCACTTCTGGAAGCAAGTGTTTAAGAATAGCTTCCAGACAAGTAGAAAGGGGAACATTGGGAAGATCAAGCTATGTTTTTGTTGCTTTCAAGTTTGTATGCAGATGGGGGGGGGGGGGGGGGGATCTCAAAATTACAATCTTTATCTTTGATGCTTCCTGATGTCAAATGAGCAGGAAAATTGAAACTGGGTTTCTAGCAAGGGACTAAAATGAGAGACACATTATGAGAGCAGGGATATTAAAAAGTTCTCATTTCATTCTCTATTACTTTTAGAAACACTGTAGTAGGAAACTAATTGTATTATTTCCTGTTGCCAGGTGCCTCATTCACACAGAAAAACCCCTCAGGCTTTCCCAGAGCTCTCAAATGCAGCAAACTATTGCCGTAATCCAGGAGGTGTAAATGAACAACCATGGTGTTATACAAAAGATGCATCTGTAAAATGGGAATACTGCAATGTGCCTCATTGTGGAGATGGTAAGATAGTGTAGTATATCATTTATAGGTGCTGTTTTGGCATGGTCTTTATTACATAGTGGATCTAGTCCAATAGGCTGGAAACTTGAGAACCTTTATTACTGCATGGCCACAATAATATTGCTATTTTTAGAGTACTGGTACCTTGGAAATAAGTTAAATAAGTAAAAAAAATGTTGAAAGCATGTCATAGGCGCAAGTAGCATACAGTGACCATAACTTTGTTCCAGTCTGCTAAATATTAGAATTCAAAAATTGTTAACTAGCAATACTTTTGTTTCAATGAGTTACATGAAAAACAAATTGACTTGTAGCCTTATCACACTGATAATGTCCCAAAAATATACTGTGCAGATTTTATAAATGTGGATTTAATATGATGCGTGGGAATAAATGGAAGAATGGAAGGATGTATGGAGCTAATCATTTTGGAAACACCAGTAAAAGACCCAGGCCTGCAATGACTAACTACGTACTAATTAGAAGTTGCTAATGAGAAATGAAAAGTAAACTCTGATGAGAACTGGGACAGTGATGACAGAAATGTTTGCAACATTCCTTATGTTAAGAAGGAACTCAACACAAGCCTTGTATTTGTCAACACCAATCAAGAAGAGTCAACATCCGGCCAGGAAACTGAGATGGAGCCAGGATGGAAGAAGTCTATCATTAATTTACAACTTTGGGACCACATCAGCAGAATATTCCTATAAAATACTCAGTCTAATAATGCTCAAAGTGTGGCAGTCCTGAGGAGTCTGTACTACCCGCCATGCTCTGCTCCATGGGAAGGAGAGAGATGATGTATTTGGAGAGTGGCAGGTTTGCAAGGGAGGATAAACCCATTCTGCTATGCAGCAATACAAAATCAAAGCACTCCTGACAGATGTCTATCCAGCCCTCACTTAAAAACCTCCACCATGCTCCAAGACAGAATATTCCACTGTCGAATTTCTCTTGTCGTCAGAATAAATTTTAATGAAAAATCGCCAATAAACTTCATACTCAAGGAGGAAATTCACACCACCTTGAAAAAAGAACCAAATCTATGTGTCAAAATGTATGCAGGGATCAAGCTGCATTATAACAAGAATTGATAGCTGACAGGAGATCAGAATGCTTAGATTTTCTTTTGTTTGTTAATAATCCCTCTGACAATTTCCTTCAAACAGATTTCTACTTTCAGAAACTGGTGTGTCTATGGGAACTGCAGACATTCACCAATGTCCTTGGGGAATCCTTGTGAGGGAGGGCTGACCCACAATCTTCCCTCAGTAGATACGTTTTTCCATCATCTGTCTTAAGATTCATGGGTTTGAGAATGCTATCCTGTCTTTCTTTATAATATAATCAACATTGAAAGGATCTTAATACATCCAAGTCTGATGTATTATTTCTACACCCACACCACATCTTTGCATGGCAACATCACGTTAATTTCCCTCTAAAATCTAAGGCACTCTTGTTTCTTTTTCAGAACCTTTGTTAGAAGCAACAACACCAAGTTTACTTTTGCCGTATTACCCTTCCTCTTTCTCCCCAACCTACTCCATGACTGTCATCATCTCCATCATTTGTAGCTTTGCAATGCTGATTGTACTTGCTATTACTGTTTTGATTTGTTGCCGTAGGCGCAAGCAATGGAAGAACAAAACAAGGTGAGATCCAGCATATTTACTCAGAAATAAATCTCATAGAAGCCACTAATAGTTAGACTGTAGCATATGCTGCTCTATTGCAGTCTAGATTTTCAGTTTATATTGAATGATGGAAAAGAGATACAGCACACTTGTTATCTCAGTCATGATGGTGACCTCAAAAAATCACAAAAGATTACCACTACCACTAAATTTCTACTTAGCACTATAAATTCCTTAGTGTGACTTTGCTCCATGATGAGTTAATACTGGTTCACAAATATTATTGAATATCATAGCTATTTATTTATTTATTTACTTACTTTATTTATAGACCGCTGTTCTCAGCCCGAGGGCGACTCACAGCGGTGTACAACATGAAAGCAACAGTATTCAAAGCACAATACAAACAATTCACAACATTATACAACAAACAGTAACACAATTTCTACAAAAAACCATTCCTCGTCGTCTCATCGTCCAAACCACAATCCAGGATCATTTTCCGTTGTTCCATTCCTGTCGTCATTACCAATTATTGCACTTCTTGTTCGAACACCTTCTTGAACAGCCAGGTCTTTAATTTCCTGCGGAATACCATCAGGGAGGGAGCCAGTCTGATGTTAAAACCATGTCATACCTTGACATACTCCAAGTTTTAATATTAAATATTAAATAAAATATTTAATATTTTAATATGTGGTAGTACCATAGACAGTGTCTTGTCTATTAATTGGACTCAGAGACTGAGGGATCATAACTACTAATGGTGGAAGCACCAGGCATGCTCAAGATGCTGGAGAAACTCAAACTAAAAACTCTTCAAACCTAGTTCCAGTAATGAGCTAGAACATTCATGAGCCCTACAGTCACAGAGCTTGGTTTACCAACATACAAATTCTATGAGATAACAAGTAGTCCTAGGTGCAGGCCTTCGCCTTTTAAGATTCTCAATACTGGAATAATCTGAATGGGGGTCTTTTGTGAGCCTTGATCTTTCTGGAGACGGTTGCATTCTTGGAAATCTCCTAGGTGCTGATTTTCTACATTGAGCCTCATGGGCTCCTTCTTGGGACCAGATAATGGTCCAACTTCCTTTCTCACTGTTTTGAGTGTCAACAATTTCACAAGTATTACTGAAACATGAAGGTATCTTGCCTTTATATTTTGACACTCTCCAATAACTACTTCCCAAGCCTAACCCTGAATGAAGTCTCTTAAAGGTGTAAAAATAGGATTTATTGAGTCAAGAATTAGCCCAAGCAGTCTGCTTAGCTGCATAGCTTAGGATGAATTCCTTAGTTTCATTAGTTAGTAAGATTGCATTCTATACTTTATTTGGATGACTCTTACAGACTTCTAAGGGACATTTATTTATTTCTATACTAAGGCTTTGGTTAAGGTCTGTGGGGCTTACTTTCCATGTAGAAATGTGCAGGGCCATACTATAAATGTGTACAACAATTTACACCCTGAAAAAAGTGGTTAGCATAAATAATGAATGAATCACAATCAAGCCAAAAATATGGGATTGCTATCACAGTATGTAAATTATGAGAAACATCTAATATCTCTAAGATTTCAAAACCTTTGTGTCTATCTGCATTTAGCCTAGACAAGCTAGACAATTACCCACTCCCTTCCCCTCCTCCAAAGATGGTGTGATCCAACCACCAGAGTTAACCTTAACCTTAACCATTGATTGAAATATGTGTTCAAAGATAAGGAGAGCTAAATGCTAAATCAAGTTTTGCTTGATATAAAAGAAACTTGCCCTGCATACTCTCCTAACATTCTTCTGCTGGTTCCATGAGGAACTGTTCAGAAACTTTACTTCTATTTTGAGTTGACCACAACTTATTATATTTGTCCGGGCTGAGATTACACTTATGGTTTGTTTGAAGTGTGTCAACTCTAAAAGAAGAGAAGGAGGTAGAGGGAAAGTTGGGCAAGTTCATGATACAGCAAACTAGTTTTAGCATGATGCTCAAATAGGAGCAGGGCCTCCTACTTGATTTGTAAGATACTAGCCTGCATTTCTGAATTTTTTAAAAAAACTTCTTGCTACTTGTGTACAACATACTTACAGCCAACACTAATGTCCTGATGTACAGTTTGGAAAGCTGTGGTAACAACAAAGACTCCAATGGGGAGGAGGGAATATTTATATACTGCATTTACTGAATACTCTGAGCAAGCTTTAATGGCCTGCTATGAGAAACAGCCAAGGTTCAACTGCAGTAGAGCTGTGTATTTTAAGGGCTGTTTGTTGTGGTTACTCCTTTATACCTCATAATAACTATTTATAGGAATGTTACTCAAGCAAGTCACATAGTTGATCTTTTTGAAGCAAATGGGAGGTGCCTTTGTATATAACCATACTTTGGTTATATACAGGCGAGTTTAAAAATTTAGAAATGCGGTCACTCCACGTGGAGATTTGAGGATACAATTACTTTTCAATAATCATAAAAAGGGAGTTAATCTTTGTCTCCCAACCTGCATAGTTGCTTTTCTAAACTTCTGGAATATAAATAACTTAATATAGAACTCATGTGGATACTCTTTATAACACAGTCATCATGCCCTATTATTACTATATTTGTTTTTTTAACATAGGATCCTATTAGGTTACTATTTCAAAATTACCTGCTGTTATGACATGCTGCTGTATACCTTTCTTTCTTTTCAGGGAATCAGTCCCACCAGCCCTGACCACACTACCATCTGAGCTCTTATTGGACAGGTTGCATCCAAATCCCATGTATCAGCGCATGCCTTTACTTTTGAATCCAAAATTATTCAGTCTGGAGTACCCACGAAACAACATTGAATATGTGAGAGATATTGGAGAAGGGGCTTTTGGACGGGTTTTCCAAGCAAGGTGAATGGATCGTTAAGCCATGAAGCATAGCAGTCTCCTGGTATTTTATGCTTAAATGAAGCATCAGTGTTAGAAAAATAAATATTAATAAAGTGGACATAATGAAATGAATTAAGTGGCAGAGAGTCCAGGGAGAAATAACACCTTAACGTATTTGTTTGTGTCCATGGTATAATTTTAAAGGTAAATATGTAGCTATTTGCTCTGTCTACAAACATTGTGTAGTCTTCAGGAAGTCATAAATATTGAAATTTGAACTAAAACTTGAAGTGAATGTACCCCCTCCCTGACATGGGAGTCATTAACTACTACTGCAAATTGTAAGAGAACTGTATGAAATCGAGAACGTATTTGTCATGGGCCCGAAATTCATCCCATTTGTTTGATTCATTTTGTTCCGTCCATTCAGATGGCATGAAATTGAAATGCAATCAATACAAAAGGCAGGCAAGAATGGGTATCGGCTCCAAGTCTGCTTTTCAGCTCGATTGCCTGGGGCCTGGCTTGGCCTACAGCCGAGCACATAGAAAGGAACACTCCTTATTCGGCACTCCTTACTCAGTGCTCGGCTGTAGGCCTTGCAAGACCCAGGTACATAGGTCCAAAGCCTGCACCCATAGGCCTGGTCACTTTGGGTCTACAAGTGAAGTCCCCCTCACAATAATGGGCTGAGAGAAAATTGATCTTTCGGCTCCAAAAACAAAAAAAAAATATGTGAACTCCCGATTTCGAGAGGCCCAGATGAAAACAGTTTGGGGCCCCCACCGAAAGCCGGGACATGAAACGGATCAAGGTAAGTCCCAAATGCACATGACTAGAATGTATACACCCCTGGAGTGGGGAAAGTTGCACTGAACAATAATAATTTAAATATTGACTACCTTGTTTCATCAATATGATGAATTCACGATTTCAAAAATTACTTATACTGTCTTGAATGGTAAAAAACTGGATTCTTTAAAAAAACAGAGAAAAGAATTATATATTATCTTGGATAGAAAGAAAGAGAAATAGGATGCTGGTATCTTCACTGTGATGTACACTTCTTTAGCTCAGTGGGTTATGTCTAATAACTGATAATGGGTTGGCATTTTCATGCTTGGCACCATAACTGTTTATGGTAATATAATTTTATATTTGGTAGGAATCATTGGTATAACAGAAGTGGAAAAAATGAGGCATGATTTAATGTATAAATATTAAGAGAGATAGCAGATTATGCTTTGTAAATTATTGCAGAACATGTGCAAATGGGATTAGTTTAAATCTGAGTTGTAGATTCAGTCTCATATCTCTAAATTTAAATTTGACTTGCAGTTGCAGAATGTTAATTTTGTAACTGCAGAATTAAGAGTGTTTTTCAGAATTTAATTCTTTTCTCTTGGCTCAGCAAACTATATTAAGTGAAAGGTCTAATTCTGATCTTGTTGTGCTCTTATTGCTATGTGCAAGCACCCTTTACTGGTGGCAAGCCCATCTTGACCGTCTCACCGTACCTTTTGCAAAAGACAAAATGGTCAGCGAGCATATTAAAAGAGCTTCCTCCTGTCCATCACAAGTGTGCACAGTTTCTCAAAAGCCAGAGGTCAAAAAAGGCATTTAACTTTAGCTGAAACATTTATGGGGAATTGTGTTTCCCTTGGTTGCAAAGTTACATGGGCCTGCATTGCAGCTGTGTAGCTGTCCTGGAAGATTTGTTTTCAGATGGGCAGTTTGCCATTCTCTGGCATTTGACAATGATGTGACATTCACTGCAGCCAAGTGCACCTGTCACACTGCCATATGTCTGGAGCAGACACTGCGAGACCTGGAAGTTTGCTTTGGAGACGAGAACTTCCTCCAGCTACTGCATAGTAAAGCAACCTGACATTTAAGAAACAGCTGAGAGATTGCGAGGAGTGTGTGTGGTCACTCCATTCTCAAGGCAAGAATTCCCTTCTGTATACTACCACACCGAGAGACAGTGGAGGTCAGACAGTATATAAGCAGGCAAACCATAGAAGTAACCTATTTGGTTAAATAACCTATAGTTCATTAATTTATTAAAACTAGAAGTATTATAGCTCATTCTAACTATAAGTTATGGTTTGTAGCTCAGTATACTGTAATTTATTCAGCTACCCTTCATTCTCATGTATAAGACTAGAAATTTTAGGCAAAAAATCAATTAAAAAAACCTGAGTCAACTTAAGCATGGGTCAGTGTGAGTACCATATCTTAACTCTTATAAGAAAAGGAACCATTTCCTCCTCTGAGTAGAATGATGAAAGGCAAGAGCTTAGTTTGTCCTAGGAGAAATAAAAAGAAGCACTAACCCTACTTCTTGCCCTTTGGAATGTCAAAGTTGGAAATGTTAATGGTGGGCAAAGGGCAGTTGCCTTCCTGAGCCAACATTGGTGCACCCCCCTCTCTGCAGAATAACCCTCAATTTACCCATGGGTTATATTGCAATATATACATGGCACAGACTTATAGATAAATATATATGGTAAGCTTGAACTGATCTGAATTGGCCCTATCTATTTTTTCCCATGGTTTATTATGATTATGATTTATTCTGCTCAGAATAAGCATCATGGAGCTGTTTGCATGTTCTCCTGACTTATGGACCAAAATAACACGAGTGGCTTTGGGTATAGTCAACCTTACGTGGATGTGAAAGCTATAACCATATTTACTCAATTACAATGCACTATTAATTGTAATGCGCACCTCAATTTTGAAGGTATGCCTTGCAAAAAAATAAATAAAAGATTTATAGTCTAACTAGCGGTCCCCTGCCACGCGTTGCTGTGGCCAGTCTGGTGATCTGGAAAATAAAGTAATTAGAAAGTGCTGGTTTCTAATATATGTAATGTCTTTATGCTTGTGGGTAAACAGTATTTCTTGATGTTTCTTTGACAGTGTTGATGTGGAGATTGTCTGGTTTGCCTACTCTGGAACATGCAACATTTAATTGTCCATCTTTAGGAGTCCCTTTCAAATCTATAATACTTTATCTCTCTGTGTGTGAATCATATATATCTCCTAGACTGCTGATCCTTCTGTTGACTGCCTCAGAATGGTCAACAAGCAAGGAAAGCCATGCCCCTACATGAATGAGGTCAGTTGGGGATCCATCAGGCTGAGGCTGGTGAGTTCGCCAGCCTTGGCCTGACAGAGATGTGTAGGTGGGTTTACGTGTGCGATTCAATGCACCATCAAATCTAATGTGCACCTCACTTTTGCCTATGTAATTTAGCCAAAAAAGTGAGCATTAGCTTCAAATAAATGTGGCATTTGCTACTCCCCACTTCGCAGTAACATGTCTTGAGCCTTTCCTGAAATGGGTTTTGAAGATTTGACTATCTATTCTTCTCTTAGAGCACCTGGACTTCTTCCTTATGAATCATTCACAATGGTGGCAGTGAAGATGCTCAAAGAAGAGGCCTCAGCAGACATGCAGGCCGACTTCCAGAGAGAAGCAGCTCTCATGGCAGAATTTGATAATCCAAACATTGTCAAGCTTTTAGGTACCAAACCCAACATTTTCTACCACCTTCATTATTCATTTAAATATTTTTTCAGCAATCTAGTGGCATACTCAGGTGCAGCTGCAGTGCCAGAGGCAGAGCACTAAATTTGGTTCTGTTGTTGCTTCAGAAATACCTACCTGCCTACCCAGATTTGTCTGGAGGTCTTAGGAGCATTTACAAAAGAGACAGAACTGTCATCTCTCCATGTTTTTCCATCCCATGGGTGTAGCCTCAGACAATATATCATTTGCTATTCCTTTCCTTTCCCTCACTTCATCTCATAGGTGCTCGCCTGTGCAGATGTAAATCTCCCTATGTGAATACAAATGGTAACCAATTAGTCAGAGGCATTGTTCATTTCAGTGAAAATATAATTAAAGAGGTATTTCCAGGAGACCTCTAGACTGAAGTAACTTGCTGAGGCTGAAATGTCTGCAGATAATACAGCAGCACAAGCAGGAAACAGGAAGTGGACACTCAGTTGGAGTGATCTCTTTGTTTATTATCACCATGTTGGATAAATTAGGAAAGGTCAAACAGATTCATCAGTTTCGTCTTGCGGGGGTGTGGGATTGTCGAGCATCACTTGACCTATGGGCCTTTTCTGTGAACATGTTTCTCTTTTGGCCAAACACAGATGTTTTCACAAAGTGAACTGTTGTCTGCTTTTAATTCAGGAGGCAACAGTAGGGACCATCCGTAAAACTTCAGCCTAAGCTGCCAAATGTTATCAAAAATGTTCATAAGAATGGCAAAGGTGTAAATATGGAAAAGCTATTTGTTAAATGGTGTTCTCCCATTTTCCTGGTTTATTTGTGTGGTATATTTTTGTGTATATTTTCCTGATATTACTTGTGTGGCGATGGCCCACAGGGAGCTCTGACATGCACTGGTCCATGAGGTCACAAAGATTCAGAAGCAACTGAACGAATAAACAACAATGTTGTGTGATTCAGTAATACATACGAAACAATACAAAATTGTGGTATGCCCCAGTCCTGACTTACCGAGGTTTCTTATTTGTGCTAACACTCTTGGGTGCAGGTGAAATTAGCTTTGCAGCAGCAATGGCCTTCTGCTACATATCCAGGAAGCCCACATGGCTAATCCACCTCTTACTGACTGGCCTCTTCTATCCAATAAAATATGCTGTTTAATCTGTGGATCTAGTTACCAGTCGCATGCAACTTTTTATTAGTTACTGTAAACATGTTTGTCATGGCACCGGGCCAAATACAGTCAGCCCTCTATATCCACAGATTATGTACCCATTAATTCAACCATCTGCAGTTTAAAAATACCACCCCCAGTTCTTTTTACAAAAACACAAACATTGATTTTGCCATTTTCCTTAAGGGACGCCATCGGATACAATGGGACGAGCATCCATTAATTTTGTTATCCACAGAGTTGGAGAGGAGTTCCTAGGACGAAACTTCACCAGACACCAAGGATTCACTGTGTCTTTTATCTGATAGCACAAATATTGACTAGGAATTTCCTTTCCAGCCTTCTTGATGGCTCCTCCCCCTAAATTAGGGGGAGTATATATATCAGTACATTGAGGAACAGACTGCTGAGATGTGTCCCCTACATCTGGGAGTGTAGCAGGTAAACTTGTCCTACAAATAAGTCCTAGAGATGGCTTCACACAGAGATCTCTTAAGGAGATCCTTGTTAAAAACGCAGGGCAAAATTCATAGTTTTAGTGTCAGAAACTCCCCTCTACATAAATGGTTAATCATGGGACATTGCATATTAAAAGAAGCACTGTATATATTTAATTCCTATTTAATGTCGCATGTTGGATAACTTTTCCATCGTATAAAAATCTATCTTCCTGCTTGTTCACCATGGCTATTTTTGATTTCAGGAGTGTGTGCTGTTGGAAAGCCCATGTGCCTGCTGTTTGAATACATGGCCTTCGGAGACCTTAATGAATACTTGCGCAACCGATCACCACGTAATCTCTGTAGCTTAAGTGACAATAACTTTGAACTAGGGGTCAGACCTTCCAGCCCTAACTTGCTTGCCCTGTCTTGTACCAACCAGCTCTACATTGCCAAACAGGTGGCGGCTGGAATGGCCTACCTCTCTGAGCGCAAGTTTGTTCATCGGGACTTGGCCACCAGGAACTGTTTGGTGGGAGAAGACATGGTGGTGAAAATTGCGGATTTTGGTCTCTCTAGAAACATGTATTCAGCAGACTATTACAAAGCAAATGAGAACGATGCCATTCCTATACGATGGATGCCTCCTGAGTCTATCTTCTACAATCGCTACACAACTGAATCTGATGTTTGGGCCTACGGCGTGGTCCTGTGGGAAATCTTTGCCTTTGGCTTGCAGCCATATTATGGGATGGCTCATGAGGAAGTCATCTATTATGTGAGGGATGGAAACATCCTGTCCTGCCCAGACAACTGCCCTTTGGAGCTCTACAACCTCATGCGCCTTTGTTGGAGTAAGCTGCCTTCTGACAGACCAGGTTTTGCAAGTATCCATCTTATTCTGGAGCGCATGTACGAGAGAGTAGTGACTGCTGACCATGATGAGTCAAGGTAGTAACTCCATTGGGATGGAAGAGACATCGTGGACCTGAGAAATCACCCCTCTTTGGAAGTGTAACTCATACAAGATTTCCAATAGCGAAATTGAACCAAGTGAGCCCTTTCGTTTGCCTGAAGACTACAAGACTAGATAAAGTCACTGCTGCATTTAAAAATGTGATCAACGACCACTCCACCCCATTCCCATATTGAATTTTCAAAATATCACACTTTAACTTACAATCTTTCCAGTTTTCTATTTTGATAAATCATTCAAAGTGGACAACCAAAAAAGTACTGAAAGTAGATTAGGATAAACTAGCAAAATGGCAGAATATCAAATGGAACATTAATTGAAACAGCAAACAACAAAAAGTAGGTGCTTCAAAGGTCTGGGATGTTTATCGAACTGCCAGTGTTGAACAGGATTGTTATAACTGTTGATTTGGAACTTGTGTTTCTATGTCATTGCCTTATTCCCACGTGAGTCAGAACAGTGGTGCATCTATTCCTATGCAGTCTTCTCTAGCTGGAAGTAGCTCTCCACTGCCTCTGGGCCGAGTGTTTTCCTGCAACTCTTTTAATTACTAAAATAGAATGGCAGGTGATCATGATGAATGGGAAATGTCTACATTCAAAGTATCCATGAACATTGATCCCAGAACAAAAGACCATATAATTCAGATTATCAAAGCAAAAAATTCACATTATCCACTTTGAACTGGATTATATGAGTCTACACTGTCATATAATCCAGTTCAAAGCAAATAATCTGGATTTTATATGGCAGTGCAGAAAGGGCCTCAGCTACAGGTATCTTAAAAATTGGATCCCACTCAAGATTTCCATAAAATGAGTAAAGCAGTCAATAAACCTCATGTACCACAAAGTTTAAAAATGCACTTTTCTTGTTAAAGTCTTTTAAATGTAAAGTACATTATTTTCTCTGTTATTAATTCTAATGTGGAAGTTTTAGTACAACTGAGAGGAAAGCAGGGCTTTTTAAAAATCCAGCATTCTAGCCTTTGTTTTATTAGTGGAAAGGTTTTCCCCTGACATTAAGTCCAGTCGTGTCCGACTATGGACGTTGGTGCTCATCTCCATTTCTAAGACAAAGAGCCAGCATTGTCCGTAGACACCTCCAAGGTCATGTGGCAGGCATGACTGCATGGAACGCGGAGCGGTGCCTGAGCGGATCTACTCATATTCGCATGTTTTTGAACTGCTAGGTTGGCAGAAGCTGGGCTAACCCCAGGAGCTCATGCCGCTGCCCAAATTCAAACCTGTGACCTTTTGGTTAGCAAGTTCAGTAGCTCAGTGGTTTAACCAACTGCACCACCGGGATCAAAGCAGAGTGAAATTACATTGTTTTGGATAGCACCCAATTCCAAAACAAATTTGAATAATTAAGGTGTTATTACAAGGGGAAGACAAAGCCTTGTTTTACACAATGCTGTGGCAAATTGTGCTACTATATGAACTGTTTAAGATTTGTAATGCTGCTTAAATGTTGTCATCATCTAGCATGTATTCTAGGTTGGTGTACTAAATTGTATTCTCTCTCTCTCGTGAATATACAAGGATTGTGATCAGACTTTTAAGATCTCAGAAGAGGTGTATTTCTGAATGACTGTATTTCACTTCCCTAATACAGTAGTCATTGTTTTTTTTTTAAATCAATTTTGTTATGGCAAATCTAAGAAAAAAAAAAGAATTTTGGACTGAATTTTTCACCTAACCCACAGTTAGTGCCTTTCCTTTGACGTTAAGGGGTTTTGGAAGAAGGATTTCAGAAGAAGGATGCAACTCTTGCAATAGTTTTGTCTGAAATGATGCGTATATGAAGTTGTGAGTCAGGTAATGAATGGATAGATATACGCATCATTTCAGACAAACTATTGCAAGAGTTGCATCCTTCTTCTGAAATTCATTTTTTTTCTTAGATTTGCCATAACAAACTTGATTTTTTTTTAAAAAAAATCAACTGTATCTCCTTCCTCCTCCTCACTCATTTCACTCTCAGAAAACCCTTCGAAGGAATCTTCATCAGTGGATGACATAAGTATCTCCCGGATCCTCTTCCTCTGTTGTTCCTCATCTAACTCTTGGGCACTCCTTTTCCCTTTTCTGACACCCTTACTACCAGTTGCAGTGTTGCTAACAGACTCTTCTACAACAGACAATTTCTTTATATTTTGGATTAAATAAAATCAAAATAGTTGAAATATTGCAAATTCATTTGTTCCCTTTAAAACCTCCTAAAATTTATTTAGTGGGCAATGAAGAACCTGCTGCTTGTACAGATTGGATCCAAATGGACTTGTGTGGATATTTCTGTGTGTTGGTCTCAGCTCATGTTGAATTTTCATGAACTTGGATGTGAGTGAGCAATCTTTTTTTTTTTTTTTGTAAATAAACAACGTGGTGAATGAGCAGGACTCTATCATGTGAAACCAGTGAAGTTCTGTGAATGAAAAGAGCGTCATTCAGCCTTCTTGGCAATAATGTCACTGACGGCTAAATTTATCAGCTTTAAATTGGAGTTGGATTTAGTTCACGATACAAGATGCCAGGGAACATGGCAGGCAGAGTTGAATTACAGTGAAGAGGACTTGGAAGTCTTTAGTATCCTGTGGATAATTAGCAGGATGATACAGCATGTCTCCAAGAAAAGAACACCAGGGGAAGTTCTTAATGCCCAGACATGTGACAGTCTGTTGAGGGAAATGCCAAGTGTGCTTAACCCCAGCTTAGAAATCTACAGAACGATGGAATGACTTGGAGTCATCTTTGTATCTACTTATAACTCCCATTGCAATTAAATTGACTAATGGTCTTTAATCTTAACTAGGCTCGTGGGCAAAATTCTTCTAGACAGAAACACAAGTGCCATAATACATGACAAGGAAAATTTGTAATCTTTCTGAATTGAAACTTTGGACAGTTCTTCTGGATTGTAGCCTTGTGTTTCTTTATGGAGTATGAAGCATTCTCTTCTTTTTGTATTACATGTCTCAGAATCTTCCATCTTGCAAATCCATGGAGTCATCTGGGAACCCCCAAATAAGATATTTCCAAAGTCTCCTTCTCCACTTGGATATTTTTTCCCCACAAATTGAGTTTGCAAGATCAATTATGGCACAGAACATGGACTTTATCGCTTGAGGGAAGCAATCTGGCATTGAATCAGGGCCATCTCCTTTGATGATGGTCCCTATTGCACAACATCATTCACATCTCGTTGCCTCTACTTCATCCACAAACTAACCTGCCCCACACAATAGCAGGGCAAATACCATCAATATTTGCCAATCCCACAACGTTCCCATCACCTAGCTTTTGTGATAGGTCTGCTCCACTGGCATGTCAACATTGAAGTTACTTCAAGTGGTGAGATTATTCTCTTCTCCCCCATTCTCGCTTAGTATTCCTGGATTTTTAAAAATAATTACAATATGTTTTTTTTAAATAACCATTACTGGATCTGAAATATTGCTTTTAAAACTAATAAGAAAATACTGAGCAGTGGAAGTGCAGAAAGGCAAGGTTAAGAGGGTATGCAGAAGTACGCTGATGGAATCACGGGTCAGTGAATCAGCACAATTGTGCAAATGGAGATAAGTGCAACAATGAGGGTGCGATAATGTGGGCACTCATATTTCCGACTTCAGCAATGACATGACTATAGTGCATTTAGTGGCTTCATGTAATAAAGTCCTGTGTCTTTATCCCACACTTTCTTCAAGGATGGAAAATGCACAGCATGATGGCATTAACTAAAAGCCTTCCAGACATGGAAAATGTCTTTGACGGTTCCAGGTTTTTCTCCAGTACAGCCTATATTATCATTATTCTCAGAAAAACCCCAGGATTACCAAGGATTTTTCATTACCACTATTTAGGTCAGTTAAAACTAAACTACTATTTCCTGAAACAAAATTTACCTCTTCAGGGCTATGTTTATGTTCTACAAGCAAAGATAGCCACCATCAAGAAGAATAGCCTTTTTTTCAGATCCCAGATTTAACAGGGATCAATTGAGAGCAAAAGGAATGCTAGTAATGAAAGAAAATGATCCTAATTCTTAACCAGTGTAATATTACTAAAGCATTTTAACGATTTCAGTATAATTCCTTCATAATACATAAAAAGAGCTCAGTGGAAATGGAGAAACACCAAGTAGGTGGGGATGAGGAAACTTGGAATATTTCAAAAAAGAGTTGCCGTATTTATTTATTTACAATATTTCTATCCCACCTTTCTCAGCCTGAAGGCAACTCAAGGCGGCTTACAAATTGACAGCAATTTGATGCAATAACAGTCCATAGTATACAATTCAAAACAATAAAACAACATTATAAAATCCATACAAAACCATTAAAAATATATTAAAACCAATGTCTTCCTGTTAATCTCATTTTCCAATAGCATCTTCTAGGCCATTCCATGTTTTGTTCTTTCATAGTTCCAAGTTTAACTATTATGCTGCATTTTCAAAAGCTTGTTCAAAGAGTCCCCTCAACTTCATGTATAAGTTGAGGGGAGGTTTAGGGGTGTAAATTATTAATTTTGCTATGACCTGTGGATGAGTGCAGGGTAAAAGTTAGGGACCTGTAACAAGTATTTTCATCTCCTTCTAAAAATACATAAAGGTAGCATACTTCAGAAGAGTGAAAGGGAAGGAGAAGATCTGTTTGTCTTCCTCCTTGCCTTCCTTACTTTTTTCACATTGAGTAGAATTCAGTAGCAAAGTGAGGGATTCATTTTGAGATGGAGCAGATGATGGCAGCCATGTTTAATAAGGGCTTCCTGCATAAGCTTCTCTACAGAGAGATTGATATGGCCATTTTAAATAGAGTCTGACTATTATAAGTCAACTCAGGTTTTGTGGGGATTTTTTGTCAATTATACAAAAAGATATGTGGTACTTGAGCCTTCTTGGTTCTATCATGACCAGTTTCCCCTTTCTGGATAAGCCCTGCATTGTATGAAACAATACAGCTGTGAGTAAGCAATTCATCACAAAAGGGATGAATCCCAGTGGCAAAGATAACATTTAGTCTGACCCATACACACGAGAGTCCCACTGGATTTCTATTCAACTCAGTATGCTATCTTTAATAAGGGACACTCATATGTTTCTGGGAAGTTTATGAACAGGACAGGGAGGTTGCAGTTGATCATCCCTAACATAAGGAAGGCAAAGAATCAACTGAAATATATAAAGGGATGTTGGCAGTCACATCAAAACAAAACAAAAAAAGTCAACATAAATCAGTGGCAAAACGATTATCTCTGTGCTGTCATAAACACAGCACTTTAAACATGCTCTTGAGAGTTTGCAGGGGGACAGATGTCCATGTTTCAGACACAAACATACGCTCTTAGCAACTCCATGACACAAACCATCACACCAAACAAATGAGTACATTGTTTATTCTGAACCATATGTTGACTCAGCACGATGCAGAACAAATATTTTCTTTGGCAAGCATACCACACAATTAAGCAGCCAATTCAAAACAATGCTCATTTCTTTAAACCAGGCCAAATGTACCCAACAGTTTACTTGTTTGATAACAATGTTTAAAATATATTTTATGAAGCTTTTAATAGGGCCAAACATAATTAAAGATACCTCGCCTTGTTGTTGTTGTTGTTGTGGCTGTTGTTGGCCATATATAGCCACAATCCCATAGTTTCACAATAAGCACATAGGCTAACAGAAATGGATAGTAAGGAAACAGTCTAAATGAGTCCCACAATTACACAACAATTAGCAGTTCTAAAAAGTAGTACACCTTGAAGTATTGATTCTTAGCTCAATGATTGCCTTTGGTTTTTACTTTTCTATAAGGAGAGTTTGAGGTTTGACAATATTGTCTGCTTTTCAAGCTTTGGCATTGCTGTTAACATCAACCCTACTACAAGGCTATATTTTAAATATTTCATAACTGTATTGTTTTAGTCTGAAATATTCTTATGTTTATGGAGAAAGCAACACATTGAGCAACAGAGCACATGCTCTCTGTACAGAAGGTCATTGCCATTTCTAGGAAAGTCTGAGCAAAGCAGTTTCTAAATCCCAGAAGGCCCTTGATTGTTGATAAGGCAGGTTCTTATTTTGAAACTAACACTTATAAATAGAGAAGTCTCATGGATTACTAACTGAATACATATGGCAGTTGTGCCGTAATCTACATTATCTTTTACTGTGTGATGGGGGCCCATGAAGGTTCTGGATATTTTAGAGGGATAACTTGCTTCATTTTTAATTTCTCTCTTGGTAATACCTGGTATTGATCTCTGAAAGATGCTGGGCTTCCATTGTCAATTCATCTCTTACTCTTGAGCCAGGTCCAATATATTTAAGATTTCTTTCCATGACACTGCAAGTTTTTACCCCATTTTTTAAAAAGCTATCTCAAAGAGTCATAAAGTTGGAAGAGACCACAAGGGCCATCCAGTCCAATAATGGAGGAATATATACAATCAAATCAATCTTGACAGGTGGCCAGTTTCTGTTTAAATACCTCAAGAGAAGGAGACTCYTCCACACTCCCAGGCAGCATACCCAGAACTGGACACAATATTCCAGGCAAGATCTCCCCCCCCCCCCCCGCCTTTTCCATTTTTTGTACATGTCCCCTTTAAATCTTACTTCAGTTGAAAGTTCTTTAGACATCCCTCCCGGTTYCTTTAGACTAGTGGTTTCCAACCTGTGGTCCATGGACCACCAGTGGTCTGCAAGAACTAAAATATGGTCCGCAGCCTCACCATGACTACACCATTGCAACAAGAGCGACTCCTCTCACTAAACTCTCTTATAGTGCTGAGGCTTATTAAATATGGCTTTCTGCGGGCAAACAGATGGTGACTACTGGGTGGCATATGTTCTATATCGAAAACTAGAGCTGATGTGGTCTGTCCAATGCATTTTTCCAAATCAGCACCCGAAATAACCAAATTGAATCTAAAGTTGACCAAAAACTGATTCATAATCCTTTTGGTACTAATGTTGGAGAGTGATCCCTGGTCAAAGTGATCCCTGGTCAAGTGGTTCCCGGTCAAGTGGTCCCTGGTCAAAAAGGTTGGGAACCACTGCTKTAGACAGTGTTTAAGATTGTGCCAACAATGTCTCACTTTTCAGAAACTCCCATTTATCTTGGAGGGGGTTTTTTTTGTCGTGTCAGGAGCAACTTGAGTAATCTTGGAGGGTAAACCT